CTCGGCGGGCGGCGGTGGGGGGCAGGTAAGGGGGGTCCCCGGCCCGGTGAACCCCCTCTGCCCGGGCTGGGGGCTCGCTCCGAGGGCGGGGGGGCTCGGCTTAATTCGCCTTAAAGGGTTACCCCCCCACCCCCCGGGGCGGGGGTGCTGCGGCTTCGGGTTGTGCAAGGGAAGGGGGGCGGTGGTGCTTTTTGGGGTGCTCACCCCCCCCCATTTGCAGTATAAAAGCGGGGGAGGGGGTTGCCTTGATCCCCCCCCAAGCAGGGCATGGGGGGGGCTTCGCCTTGGTGCTGCCCGGGGTGGGGTGCGGCGGCTGGAGACCTCCGGCTGCTGCAGCGCGAATGTAGGTTAAAAAAAAAAAGGGTGGAGAGGGGGGAAAAAGTAGGTTAAGGAAAAGTCAGCAGCGGCTGCCGGGAAAACGAGAGAGGAACTGTGTCGGGTTTGGGTTTTTGGTTTGTTTTGGGTTTTTTTGCCAGAGCTGGAAAATCACGGGGCTCCCAGCCAAACGCCTGCATCAGCCGGGATGCTGCGGTGAGGGGCTGCACCCCAGAGCGGGGCCGGAGGCTTTGCCTGGCAGCGGTGCCTCGGGGGTCGTTTCCCTTTAATGTTGGATTTTTTTTTTGTGGTGGTTCGGTTGTTCCCGCACCTCCAATGGGCCCAGGGGATGCGATAAGGCTGAGTTTCGCTCCATCCACCGGACAATCCCCTCCTTGTCCCAGGCCGCCTCCAAGAGCCGTTCCCTGAAGTCTTTCCGAACAGTTGCTCCTTTTTTTCCCCATTTATCTGCAGGAGCCATCGGCCGAAACCCTGCTCCCCCAGAGGGAGGGGAAGCCCGTGCTGGAATCCCGCCTTGGGTCACGGGCTGTATTAAGGGAGGACTGGGAATAAAAGGCTCGTGGGATCCGGTGGGATTTGGGGGGATGCCGACCTCAAGTCGCCTTCCCCGGTGTGTTTGCGTCGATGTAGGGCTGGTGGAGGTCGGGGCGTCCCCAAAAAGCAGCCGGCTCTGGCACTGGGGGGGTTATTTTTTGGTTTCCCCTGGTTCTTGGGGGGGAACGATGTTGGGTTTAGTTTCACCCAGGAGCTTCAGGGTTTCTCTCCACCGTGCCAGGGTGGCCGGGCGTCCCCCCGTCACCGGCTGCGGGTTTGTGCCTGCAGCCCCCGTCCCCACCTGGGATGTCCCCGAGCTGTCCCCAAAGATGGGTGCCGAGTCCTGGAGTGGCCGTGCCAAAGCAAAGCTCTGGTGACAACCAGGAGCTGGCACCCCCTGGTCCTTGTACCTCCTGCGTCCCCATGGCACAGCATGGTCACCTAAGGGATGTCCTTAATCCTTGGATTAAGCGTGGCCTTAGAACTGCTTCACCTGGGGCCAGCCCTGTTCCTGGGGGGGTTTAAATCCGTTTGGCTTGAGCTGGTGAGCCAGGATGCTCCAGCAACCCGGGATGCGTGGGCTGTGCCGGCTCGTGGTCCACCGGCCACAGCAGGTGGTTTCCTAGCCACGGCGGGACCTATCCGCCCCCGTCCAAGGCCATCATGGCTCCTTTGCCGGCAGAGCAGCACCCCAAACATCTCCGGGAGTCCCTAAGGTGCTGCTATCAAAGGCTTAACTGTCACCACCCTGAAGGATTAAAATGCTTCATGTTAGGCTTAAGCTTGAATTTTAGTAGAGCTGGCTTACAGGGCGGAGGGCTTGCACCAGTTTCACCTTCCCCTCGCGATCAGGGGGGCACATCCCAAGTCCTCGGGGGATTCGGGAGGTGTCCCCTTGGGATGCCATCGCCCTGGGACAACGCTTCGTGGGGAGGTGGCACCCGGCGGGGCTCGGGCTGGCCGGGGCGATGGTGGCAGCTGGCTCAGCCCCCCCAAAATCATGGGGTCCCAGCTTGGCCCAGACGGTGCTAGTGAAGATGGGGCTTGGTGGCTCTTGGTTTGGGGGTGCTGCTCCCCCAGGAGGGGAGAAGGGCTGGTTGGCTTCACGCTGGCAGCCTGATGGAGTGCTCCCTTACTGGGAGCTACTGGGAGGAACTGGAGCACGGAGGATGCTCATTTTGGGCTGAGCCATCACGTCCTATAATTACCCGGCTTTGCCCCGCTCGCCCCCCGGCATCTCCCCTCCTAGGTTTAATTAGCCGCATCTCAGACCGATGATGCCGGCCGCTAATTAGGAGAAACTCGTCAGGCGAAGGCTGTAACGAAGCTCTGGCCGTGACGACCGGGGGAATTTCCATGCGGGCAGCGGAGGCTGGATCTGGGTTTGGGTTATTATTTATTTTTTCCTCCCTTCCCCTGTGCTGTCAGCATTAATTTTAATTTTAACAATTAATTGCTGAGCCTGAAGAGGGGGGATGAGCCTGTGGCAAACACCTTTTGTTTCACTTGATTTTTTTATTTAAATATATTTATTTTTTTTTTTAGTGACTTCATTTCCTTGTGGCAGATGCGTATGGATTTCCTCCGGAGCAGGAAAAACCTTTATTTAATGGTGTTTAGCATCATCTGCTCCTTCCCCTGCTCCTTGCACGGTTGGTCCTGACTCCGCGGCAGGGTTGGTCCCTCTCCGATTCGGAATGGAGTTGGGATCTGCAAGGGAACGGGGTGATGCCGGGCATCCCATAAAACCTCTAAGGAAAGTTTTGGGGGGATGGGGGAGGACCGCTGCCGCAGGGATGTTCAGGCAGACGCCTTGGAGCATCCCCATGGGGCGAATAGGGCCCCCAAATCGCTTCTCCGCTGGGATTTTTCCCGGATGGTGACCCCGGTGCTCCCCCTCCGGCAGGTCTCCCCCGGCAATGAAGAGGAGCAGGATGCGCTGGTGGCTCGTCACCATCCTGGGGGTGAGTACGGCCTCTCCCATCCCATCCCATCCCATCCCATCCCATCCCATCCCATCCCATCCCATCCCATCCCATCCCATCCCATCCCATCCCATCCCATCCCATCCCATCCCATCTCTCTGCATCTCTGCTTTCAGCTCCTCCGATGTGCAAACCCGTCCCAGCATCACCACCCCAATGGTGCAATAGGGCACCCCAAAATGTTTCTCACACAGAAACTTGCAGCAGCTCAGCCCCAGGAGATGTTTAATTTGGGTCGAGGGTGGTTTTATCCCCAAAAAATTCTTCCTCCTCCTTTTCTCTCCTTTCTCAAAGCTTCTTCCAGGGCAGGGGCTGATAGGGAATGCGGCTTCTCCCTCGCTGCTCCCCTGGGGCCACCGTGTTGTCCCCTGTCCCACGACCGGGAGATGCTCTTGGGATTTTTTTTTTTTATTTAAATATATTTATTTTTTTAGTGACTTCATTTCCTCGTGGCAGGTGCATATGGATTTCCTCCGGAGCAGGAAAAACCTTTATTTAATGGTGTTTAGCATCATCTGCTCCTTCCCCTGCTCCTTTGGGGTGGCTTGGCCGTAGCCAGGGTTGCAATGGGTTTGCATCGGCCGTGGTGCGTGCAATGGGATTGCACCCATCGCATCGCTTGGGGCAGGTTTGCATCTGCCACAGTGCACACAATGGGTTTGCAGCCATCATGATGCTGGTGGTGAGTTTGCTTCTGCCATGGTGCATGCGATGGGCTTGCAGCCGTCATGTCACCAGCGATGGGATTGCATCCACTGCAGTGCACACGATGGGTTTGCACCCATCGCGGTGCAGGCAGTGAGTTTGCATCCATTATGTCGCTGATGATGGGTTTGCATCCATCATGGTGCATGCAGAGTTTGCATCCGCCACGGTGCGTGCGATGGGTTTGCATCCATCACGTCACTGGTGATGGGTTTGCATCAGCTGCAGTGCATGCAATAGGATTGCACCCATCGCATCACTTGTGACATGCTGGCATCCACCACTGTGCATGCAACGAATTTGCATCCATCATGTTGCTGGCGATGGGTTTGCATTGGCTGCGGTGCATGCGATGGGTTTGCATCCATCGTGTGATGGGTTTGCATCCGCTGTGGCGCATGTAATGGGTTTGCATCATCGTGTTATTTGTGACGGGTTTGCATCTGCTGTGGTGCACGCAATGGATTTGCATCCATCGCATCACTTGTGACAGGATGGCATCAGCCATGTGCACATGAGGGGTTTGCATCCATTGTGTCACCGGTGATGGGTTTGCATCTGCCACACTGCGTGCGATGGGATTGTACGCATCGCTTGTGGCAGGCTGACGTCCACCACGGTGCATGCGACGGGTTTGCATCCATCATGTTGCTGGCGATGGGTTTGCATCCGCCATGGTGCATGCAATGGATTTGCACCCATCATGTTGCTCGTGAGGGGTTTGCATCTGCCATGGTCCGTGTGACAGTTTTGCATCCATCGCGTCACTTGTGATGGGCTCACCTCTGCCGCGTCGCCCGCGCCGGAGCCGCATCACCGCTGGCACCCGCCTGGGAGCAGTGGGAGAGCTGGAGCAGCCGGTGCTGAGCACCGCTCTCTGCTTCTTCCGCAGGTGCTGAGCAGACCCAGCGTGGGGGCTGGGAGCTGCGGTCCCCGGGAGCATGGGACGCCGGGATGCCTGCCCGGAGAGGAGCCCGCCGGGGTAAGCCGTGCCCGCCCGCGGCACCTCCACCCCGGAGGAATGGTGCAGGATCCGGCCATTGCTCACCTCCCTTTCCCTCCATGCAGGCGTGCGGCTCGGCACAGGGTCCGGCAAGGATGTGTCGAGCTTGTCCACCCGGCACCTTCTCACCGGGGGACGTATCCTGCACCGCTCACACCCGCTGCTGGGCTGGGAACAGGATCCTGGTGGCACCGGGGACGGCGGCCCCCCAGCCGCTGCGGAGGCTGCCTGCCGGGGTGAGCCCAGCCCGGGGAGGGACGCTGCAGACCCCCGGCCCCGGTGCTGCTCCTGGGCTGGATCCTGACCCTCCCCTCCCACCCCGCAGGTTTTACAGCCCCGAAGGGGAGAGGGAGCCCTGGGGCCGGTGCCTGCCCTGCGCCGCCGCTCCCCGCAGCACCCCGGGGTGCCCAGGTGGGTGCCCAGGCTGGAGGCGTCACCCCGGTTTTGTGGGTGCCAAAAGAGCCGACATCCGCCCCAGGGACACCGCAGGATGTGTCCCACTCGAGACGGGGGGTGATGTCCTGCCGGGATGTGGCGGCTGAGAACGTCTCCACTTGTGACACGTGGCTTCTGCTTCCCTGGGGGCCAGCCCTGCAGCGGGGCTCCTGGGAAAATGGGATTTAATCCCAACCAAACCCCTCGGCGGGGCTGATCCAATGCCTCCCCCCAGGCCGGCGGCGAGCCCGCAGCCCCGAAACACCAGGCCGGCCAGCGGGGAGCAACGGGACGCGGGTGACCCTGATGGGTGAGGAAGAGGAGGCGGCGGCGGCACAGGCGGCCGTGCTGACCATTGTCCCGGTCTTCTGCGCCATGGGCTTGTTGGGCATCCTGGTCTGCAACCTGCTGAAGAAGAAGGGTTACCACTGCACCGCCAGCAAGGACCCGCAGCCCGGCAGCACCGGTGAGCCCCGGTTGTGCCGCGAGCACCTTTCGGCGGCACATCCATCTCGCCTCGCTCAGCCCATCCCCGTGGCTTCTGGTCCTCGGTGTCCCAGGGCATCCTGCTCGTCTTTGGCGGGGTTTATCCCCCATCACTGAGTCCCCCCTCAACTTCTGCCTCCAGGTCCCAGCTCCATCTACCAGCTGGAGGACCCCAATGAGGACACCATTGGGGTGCTGGTGCGGTTGATCACCGAGAAGAAAGGTCAGAGGGGTCCCTGGGGGGGGTGACACGGGCTGGACCCCCATGACCCCCTCATGGTCTCCCCCCACCCATAGAAAATGCTGCAGCACTGGAGGAGCTGCTGAAGGAGCATCACGGCCAACAGCCGATGCCACCGGGCTGCACCCCCCCGAATAAGTAAGACCCCGCAAGGCTGCACCGAGGACCCCCCCGTGGTGGGACCAACCCCGTGCTGATGGCGTCTCCCCCCTCCCCTTTTCCAGGCTGCACCTCCTGCCTCAGTTTCCCCCCGCCTGCCGGCACCAGCAGCACCTCCACACGGTGCAGGGTCCAGCCCCGTGCACCCGCTGCAGCCAGAAGTGGCCTGAGGTGCTGCCATCGCTCGGTGCCACCAAGGTCCCCAAACCCGGGGGTCGCCCCGGGGAGGTGACCATCCTCTCCATCGGCAGGTAAGTGGGGACCCCCACCCCCCA